TATTGCCTTTAATTAATGTGTTAATTATTGCGTTATTTAATAATAATTTGTCTGTATTTTTGTTAAATATTAGTTGTACAAAACGGGCGAAAATATACAAACTTCATGTTTTTTATTTGATGGTTATAAAATATTGAACAGTTAACTTATAATCAAAATTTATAATGCCGACTTGAGTTGCAATTAATTGTACTTTTAATGCAAAATCAGTATCTCACATATCCTTTCACGAATTTTCATATCTGATACTACTGTCAACTGTATTGTTTAGTATATTCTTGTAATTTTTTTTCATAATCTTAACAGGTTCTAATTGGTATGGAGTTGCTGACATTTAAAAAATTTCATAACCAAAAATCAAATGTAAAATAAAATGGTATTTCCTTTTTATCCGTATCCAATTCAGCAAATTTAGCAATTTAAATTAAATCAGCGTGATCAAAAAAATTTTATAATAAAAAAAGTTAACAATTCATTAAATATCTCTAATTAATACTGTCTGTTTATGAAAGTAATTGTTAATAAATACTTTTTTTCAACAGGAAAACAAAAAATTTTCATAGAGTAAAAATAACCAGAGAAGTTAGAAAATAGTTTCCATTGTTTAAATAAAAATAATTAAGAATCAGAATATATAATACTGCGCTCTCTAGCGCAAAAACAAAAGACCGTATATAAAACGTTCTATATAATGTAAAACACTCGTATGAAAATCATAAGATTCGTAAGTAAAGCTTTAACATTTGTTTTAATTTAAAAACAAAAGAAATATAAGTAAGATATATAAATCGAAAAATTATTAAGATATCTGTAAAGAACAAGTTGCTCCTATAAAATAAAAAATAATTTATCATTTTTTCTTTTTACAAATTTTCTTTTGGCGATGTTTAGAAAAATAATACAAATAAATTTGTTTTGCTGTATATTAAAAAAATACTACAGTAGAAAAACGCAGCTTAGTTTAATTACACTTTTCTTTTGTTAAAAGTCTACCGTGACGTCAAATACTAAAACTTTTATGAATTAAACGCGCTTCATAGAAATTGCCAAAGTTTGTAGATTGCGACGCATAATTTGAAGACTCCGAGTAGTTGAAAAAAATGGAGAAGACGAGCTTCGGCAAAAACAACAACATTTGTTTTTCACGGCATGCATTCATTATTTATTTTTAATCAAAAAAATTTGGTTCAAACCTTTTTTTTTAACATTATCTTTAATATGAACACAACATGTGTTGGGAGTTTGGGATTTCTTTAAGTTTATGTATGAAACAAAAAAATTTTGTTTAACGGACATACATGGAAACTTAAAAAACTTTAATGTTCTTAAAACATTTTGGTACGAAAGAGTTAAAAGAATATTCGCAAACACTAAAAACCCGCCAAATTAACGAACAAACTAATTCTATTGGTTCAAAAAATACGCTGACTAAGTGAAATGAAGTTCTAGAGTATTCTGTTGAAATGTTTTAGAAATTGTGTTATTCACGATTTGTTACGTTTTGAGATTTCTGGCATAAATTGTTTTGAGAATATATATTATTTTTTTATAAAAATAAATGTTTTATATATTAATTAAATTGTCAAAATTTTAAAAGTTTATTATAAATTATAGATTTTATTAGTATATTCTTTTTTTTTTTAAAAAGTGTGTATTTTTTATGTAAATGTAATTTTTTGTATCTGTTTTTTATCGTCATGTATCTTTTAAAGCAATTTTTATGATTTAAACAAAGACTTACAAAAATAATTGCATTTTTAATGAAGTTATAATCATTAAAGTTAATAAAACTAATTATGTAACAAACATAAGAAGTTTCTGGTTACTAAACACAAACAACGCATGCAAAGTAACTCGCGGATAAACAAGCACCGCGCCTGAGGTCACGACAGAACACAAATATATATAGCAAATAACTAGATATAAAGAAAAGTTTCTAGATATTGGTTTACTAATTCTAACTATTTTCGCTTCAGTTGCCATTCTTAAAACTTGTTATACTTTTTTCTGCTTTAAATACTAATTAAAATTAAAAAGCCCACTAACTAAACATCATCAGCTATATTGTGAAGCAGTTTCGCTTCCTCGTCATTAAGTATTTTTAGTTGATTTCTATCTTGTTAATTTAATTTCTATAGTAATTCAATGATTTAATTATTTCATTTGTCTATCTTACTAAGAAGAATTGCTTCAAATATGTTAAACTTTTTAAACTACGCGAAACATAAAATAGGTATTAAAAAAATTAACTTTGTTTATTTATAAAATAATTTAGTTTGAATAAAACTAAAACTTGCAAACTTTGTTAAATAAAGAATATTTGTTTCCTTTTTAAACAATCATAAGATGTTACTTTATATAAAAAACCGGTAAATTTTATGAAAAGAATTATAAAAGAGCGATGTTTCGAAAATATTTGTTCTGAACGTAATTTACTTAGCTTTAAGTTTTTATGCGTTTAAAAATATTTTATTTGCCTAATATTTTTTATTTTTTTTTTGTAATTGTTTCTCATTGGTCCAATTAATCTTTGCGCTTTTTTTTGTTTGTTTTTTAAAATGTTCTCAAAACAACTAAAAAGTCTGGCCAGCTTTTTGCAACTAAATATTATTTATGTGGTCAGCTTTCCGACAAAGCCTGCAATTCGAAAATATATCAGAAAAATCGAAAAAAGTGTAAAAATTTTTTATAAAACTTATAATAACTGAATAAAAATAACACAATCAATAAGTAAATACTTTAAAAGTCTAACTTATATTTTTATATTTAAAACAAAACTAATGTTTGTGCTATATTTAAAAGATAAGTAAATTAAAAAATTATACTGATATTTGTTGAAAACAAGTCCTGATAATAAAACCCTAAAACCAAAAACATAAAATACACTTGATTTCACAGTAAATGAAAACAAAATATTTTTAGTAGAAAAGCTGTAATCTTTGTTTAATTACGATTATTATTTTTCAAGTAAAAATTGTTATGAAGTCTCCAGCTGAGACTGTTTAATATAGTGCAAATATTTTTTTTGAATGATAGGGGAAAGCCAAAATTTATTTTTCATGTGTAAATCGTTCAAAAAACTCTGCGGTAATTAAATTGGCGAGTATTTGTTGTTAGTATGAATTTATCATTACAATTAAGTTTAAAAATAATTACATATTTTTATTTTCATGCTCTTTCATTTTTAAGAATTTGTTAGCACATAAGAATTCCTTTAATTTTCTGATATAGAACTATAAATATATTATATTATAAATTTTTTTTAAAATTACCTTCTACTTTGGGCTTTACTGAAGCAAATTTGATTTCACTTCTATAAATTTGATTTCACTTTTATACCACTTCATTTCTTATTTTACCACACATTATAAAACACTTTAAAAATTTTTGTTTTATTTTTGTTCAGCTGAAAATAACATTAAAAAAAAATTATTATAAAAAACTGAAACTCACAAAAATAAAAAATACTGATTCTCCCAGAAAAATAAAAAATGCACAATATATTAATGGCAAAAGATAGTTTTATAATAGAATATAAATTTGCAATGCTGATGTATATATTTTTAAATAATTTAATTCAAATTCAATAATGTATGTAAAAAACTTTTTTCTTATCCTCGGAATTAGGAAGAAACACTTCAAGGTTGGCAATGCCAATCAATAAGTGTTAGAGGTTAGCAAAAATTTGATGATCTGGCTTTTATGTTTTATGGTAAAAGTTTTGTACCTAATTTCATCATTTTTCCTAATTCTGAGGGCTATATATATATATATATATATAGGGCTCGAAATAACTTTTTTTTACTGGGTAATATGTCCAGTAAATACACAAGTTTGCCGGACATATCCGATAAAAATTGAAAAAGTGTGATTGAATGTCATTCCTGAAAACACCTAATACATTTTGTTATCACAACACGCATTTGTTTTGACAAGGCATTTCAAAATGCGCTAAAGATAAAAAGTGAATTTGTAAGATAAATTATCTACGAAAAAAAAAAATCTTAAAAAAAAAGAAAAAAAATCTAAGCTCAAAAAACTTGAAAATGAAAATATATTTATATCTCGTTTTTTAAAAGTTACTGTATTATGCAAAACGCTTTGTAAATTATTAAATAAATAAATTATTATGAAATATATTAAATACATAAGTTATGTAATTATTAAAAACATAATTAAATATGTAATAAAAATGTATAATAAAAATTATTAAATACATCAGTTACTATGTAAATATATTAAATACATTATTAAGTTTACTTATTACTTTAATAAACAAAGTAACAAATTAAATGTTTACAATAAACACATTTTATTTAAATTATTCAAATATATTATACGTAATTACATTTATACAAATATGTATTTGCTTATGAATCTTATCAAATTTTTTCATTAAAAAAAAAACTATAAGGTTAAAATTTGTAGAAAATAAATTTAAAAGGGGTTTTAAAAGCTAAAATACTTGTTTAAAATTTATAAATACCATCGGACAAAAAGAAATACTAAACTATAATTTAAATTAGTAACTAATTGCAATGTTTTAATATGAATGATAAAAAGCAGGCTACTTAATTCAAATAAAATGTAATTCGTTGGCATCTTTTAAAAACTGAATTAACTCAAAAAAATGTTGTACTTTATAACGTAGCTGTATGTTCAACTTCAATTTTTTTTTGGATAAAAGATAAAAAGTTAAAAAAATAAATTTTATATACAATACTGAATGTATTTTTAATTTTGAAACAACTAAAGTGATTAAAAAATAAATGCACATAAAATATATGTCAAACAAAATGACAGATATCTTTTATAATTTATTAAAAAGAAATGAAGAAAGCCACCAGCGAGAGTCTGCCCATTTTGTGGTGAAATGCATACAAAGTTAAACAGACTTATTTTGAACAAGCATAGAAAAAATGAAAAACTCATTCATATCAATTCTAATAACAAAATAACCAAAAAAAAAACTTTTTCAGCACTTCAGAAAAACTGGAATTATGCATTACAATAAAAAGCAATTACAAGAAAAAACACCAAATTCTCTTAGGGAGAGAGTATCCAGAACAAATATTGAGCCTGTAATGTGCACAGGATGTTTAGAATTTTATGCCAGAACATTTTTTAAAAGACACACTATCAAATGTAATGAAAACTCATGTACATCTTTAATACCTTTACCAATTTCGTCTATGGATAACTTAATAAAAGATTTAAGCGAAGATTTTAAAAAAAATATTATTGAAAAATTAAGAGATGACGAAATTGGAAAATCAGTGAAAAATGATCCGATAATACTAATGATAGGTTCTCGTCTTTTTAATAAAATAAAAAGAAAAAAAGATAAGCAAAATGAAGTGAAGAGATCCGTAAGAGCTGACATGAGAAGATTAGCTAATTTATATCAAAATTTTAAAAAGTTTCAAATTAAAACTGTGTACAATAATGCAACGGACATGTTTTTGAGGACAAACTTTATGCATCTCTCTTCAGCAATATTAGTTTACACATCATCAGAAAACGAAGAGCAAAAATCAGCTTTAAAACATGCATTATGCTATTTGATATTGAATGCAGCTGAAAAACTTGTTGGACATTTTTTATCTCTAGAAAATGATAGCGTTGCCAATGATATTTGCAATTTTATTAAACTTTTTAAACTCGAGAAAGATAATATATTTGCAGATGCAAATTACGATCTGATTTCCAGAAGAAATAGAAAACACAAAAAGCCAGTAAACTTGCCACTTGAAAACGATATTGAACTGCTTAGAAATTATACCATGGTGACAATTGAGAAGATTGTTAATGATAAATTTATAACGTGGGATATACATTATTTTGTGTTACTAAGAAACTGCCCAGTCACAAGGTTGTTTTTTTGTTTAACATTATTTATGTTTTGTTTCCATACTAACATTTTTTGGACAGGTTTCTGTAATATGATTTTCTTATTCTTAAGGTTGACAATATTTAACGGAAAAAGGGGTGGTGAACCTGCTAGGTTGCTTATCAGTGATTGGAAAGATGCAGATGAAGAGGCGTGGTTAGACCAACAAAGAATTAAAACATTGCAAAGCAAAGAAACCAAAATTGCTTATCAAATTGGAAAAGGAAACAGAGATGTTCCCTTTTTATTCCTAATGACACAGTAGAAGCAATGAGAATTTTATGTAACATACAAATTAAAACAAGTATTGGAATTAGTTTTAAAAATCCATATATTTTTGCAAGTGGAAAAAAATCTGAAAGCCATTGCTCAGGTTGGCATGCAATGACAAGTGTTTGCGAAGATTTACCACTTGAAAATAAGAAACAACTTAATGCAACCACAAACAGACACAGAATTAGTACTCTGATGGCTTCTATTTCAATGACAGACAGTGAACGGAACCTGTTTTATGACCACATGGGTCACAGTGAAGCTATTAACAAACATATTTACCAAGCACCACCAGCAATAATGCAGCTCAGTAACACTGGATTGAGATTGACATGCATTGATAAAGGTAACAATAATTTTTTATAAACAAAATACTACTTTTAAACAATACATAAACTAAAATACTTTTTAAATATTATTTGTTGAAACTTTGATTAGTGTTAACAAGGGTAGAAATAATGAACCAGACAGATCTTTCAAAATAATTAAAGATTTTTTAGTATTTTAATGCAAAAAAAATTTTAATTGTGAAGAAAACATGTAGCATGAGTAAAATAATTATTTTTAGTTGTTTCTTTATCTAATAAAACGTTTTAATTCTTATAATTAAATTAAATAATTCTTTTTTAGCTAATCAGGACAATTAGAATTTTTTAACTACCTTAAAAAAATCTAATTGCAAAATTTTTTTTTTGCAATTTTTAAAAGTGTAAACGCTAATTTTCCATTCAAGTAAGTTTTTAAAAAATCATCTGCCATTTCAGACCACTCTCTCTCTCTCTCTCTCTCTCTCTCTCTCTCTCTCTCTCTCTCTCTCTCTCTCTCTCTCTCTCTCTCTTTCTCTCTCTCTCTTTCTCTCTCTCTCTACCCTTCAGCCAATCTTGTTGTTATTGGTGACTCGTTTTCTTGACAACTCTAATCATTTACCTTCACTCCTTGATTTATGTCTGCTCTCTGATCCTAGTTTGTTTTCAATTTCTCTTTTTTCTCCTTAAGATGGTTCTGACCATGTAATGATCTCTATAAATATTTCATCTCGTACTTCATTATCGGACTCACCCAAGTTGGAAAATGAAGGACTCCTTGAGACTCTTTTTGTGACTTACTTCCTGACAGTTCTTGGGCTGGTGATTTATTCCCTCTCAGCTGATAAATGCGCCTCTAATGTAACCTCCTGGATTCAGACAGGAATAGATGCTTTTTCTCCTTTTTGTCAGTTCCTAGTTGAGCCTCATTCTACTCCATGGTTTTCACCCTCTTGTGTAGCTGCTATGTCTACTTGTAAAGCTCCGGTATTATCAGTTCACTAAATTTTGTACTTTATCTCAAGTTAGGCTCTAGAGAATTTTAGAAAATCTTCAACAGCATTGTTAACAAAGGAAGGTCCAACATTCCACCTCTCATTCATGGGACTAATCTTATTACCTCTCCCAAAGATAAGGCTAAACTATTTGCAAAGAAATTTTCCTCTAATTCGACTCTCAAACCTTATTGCCATTCTCTTTTTTCCATTCCAAATACAGGTTAAACTATTGTCAGACCATTCAAATCACTCCAGCTTATGTTACTAAAGTCATACCTTGATTAAACTCGGCTTGTAATTCAGACAACATTCCTATCACAGTCTTACAAAATTGTTCTCCAGAACTCTCTTCAATTTTCTCTAAACTATTTAAGTGCTTGACTGAGTTTTGTTTTCCTACCTGCTGGAAAATGACATTTGTTATTCAATTTTCAAAAACTCTGGTGAACATTCTGACTCCTCCAATCATCGTCCAATCACTCTTCTTTCTGTTATTAGCAAGGCCTTTGAGTCTTTGATAAACAAATTTCTCACATCCCATCTTAAATCAAATAACTTGCTGTCAGACAACCAATACAGTTTTCCATCCTCTTGCTCTACGGTTGACTTGCTAACTGCTGTGACTAAAATATTTTTTCGTGCATTAGATTAAGGCAGAGAGGCTAGGGGTATTGTTCTTGACATATCTAAAGCTTTTGACAAAGTTTTGTCAAATTACTTCTTTCTAATCGCCTTATTAAAGTCATCCTTGAAGGCCAACACTTTTTATTTCCAGTAACTTCTGGGGTACCTCAAGGTTCTATACTTGGTCCTATTTTGTTTCTTATCTTCATTAATGATCTTAGTAGTAGCTCTTTTTGTTGGTGACTCATTTTTGGACTCCTGTCTTGAAAAAAAGTCTTCTCTATTTGATCGCTTAGAACAGGCAGCTGATCTTGGAGCTGACCTCATTTCTGAAACAGAAATGAGGTCAGCTTCAATGAAATTGAAATGGGGCTCACAGTGGTTTGCAAATTTGAACCCCGAAAAAAAGAAGTCATTTAAGTTTCTATCTTGTTTATACATAGTTTGTTAATTTAATATTATTTAATAAAAGCTATTAAACTTCTAAAACATTAAAAATATGATCTTTCTATAAATAAAAATAAAGAACTAAATAAAAATAAAAGTTTTGTTAAGATGATCTTTTTTATTGAATAGAACCACAAATGTTTTAATAAAAATATTGCCTATAATGCAATTACAAGCAATATTTTTATTATAAACTTCTAATGATGCCCTTTTAGACAAGGTGCAAAAACGCATTGTAAAAATAGTTGGACCTGGTCTTGCAGCTACTCTTCAACCATTGTCACATCGTCGCGATGTTGCTTCTCTTTCTTTTTTCTACAAATACTATAATGGGCATTGCTTTAAAGAGCTAGCCTCCCTTGTGCCATCTAGTAAAATATGTTCTTGTGTTACTCGCCATTAAAGTAAGTCTCATCCTTTTTCTGAGACTGTTCTTAAGTGCTCCAAAAACTCTTTCACCTAGTTTTTTTCCTCGAACATCAGTTCTTTGGAATTCGATTCCTTCATCTTGCTTCCCTGATTCATATAATTTGCAATCTTTTAAGTCATCTGTCAATCGTTATCTTGCTCTACAAACTTCATCTTTTCTCTTCCAGTAACTTCCAACTTATATAGTGGTTATTGCAGCCTTGTTGAAAGCAAAGGTGTAAAAAAAGAAAAAAAAAAAAAAACATTTGCAAGTAAATAAATACAATAATTTTACTATATAAGTATATGTATATAACTTCTAATGCTAATGTTCCTTTATCTAATTTATTAAATAAATAAACAAAACTTCTAAAACTGACTGGCTTATATAAAATAATTAGGGTTATTTTTATATCCTAAGGCAAGTAGCCTTTATAATATAAAAACATAAATTGTTTAAAAATACATATTGTTGATGTAAAGTCATTACCAAGTCTAAATAAAATTAGGGTTTTCAGGAAAAAAGTTTAACTAATGCGATTTAACTCATAATTATAAAATTTTCAATTTAACTCTGCATTTCTATTTTTACTTCTCTTTCATAGTAAATTTTATTAAAAAAAAAAACTGAAACCACAAATTTGCATATCCTAGATATATTATTTGCATATTTTTACATATCTTGCACTAATTTGAATATCCAAGATAAGTTTTGCCCTATAAATAATATAATGACTTTAAACCAACAATATCATCTTTAATAACTTTTTTATAATGAAAACAATTAAAAATAACTAAAAATCGTTTAAAACATACTTTTTAACTAAATTCTTTTTACAATTTCATAATTTTTATATTTTATAGTTTTATATATTAAAAGTTTTATATATTAAAAATATTTGTGTTTTTTTATTTTATTCTTTAAATTTTAAAATTATAATTAAGTAGAGTAGAACCATGGATTATTACTAATTTCAAGTCAGATCCATTTTTAATTCTTATCAAACTTTCTCTATTAACATACTATAAGATCATAATCATAAGCCATACCCTGGTTAACTAGGACTTTTACTTTGAATTAATTTAATTTAAAAAACTTTTTCATTTTCAATTTGGGGCTATCAGGGGCTATTCTAGACTCTTTTTGACAGCATTACAAGTTTTTTTTTATTATTATTTTTTAATTCACCTCCTCGAGGCCGATAAGGCCACTACAGGCAAGGAGGCTACTTATTTGTGGTTATAACCCTCTCTCAACTCTATAACTCCCAAACACGAACCTTGACGAACAAGGTCGCTGCGCGAAGAAACGAGTTGAGCGCGGTACTACCAACTCGGAACCTCTCGCTTGAAGCAAGCGCTCTGCCACTACACCACTACCGCATTAATAAGTATTTATTAAGTATTTGGGCGCCGCCAAAATTCAGGAATTGAAGACCTTTTTTTATGGCAAATATTATTTTTTTCACTAAAAAATGCTTATACACTGCAATGTTTCTGCCACATTTGGTAAGCGTCAGCAAGAGGGTACCTCCGCCCAAATTATTTTCCTAGAATAGCCCCTGTATATATATATATATATATATATATATATATATATATATATATATATATATATATATATATATATATATATATATATATATATATATATATATATATATATATATATATATATATATATATATATATATATATATATATATATAAATATATATATATATATATAAATATGTACTTCAATAACACCAGAATAAATATGCAAAAATATTATAGGTCAACCTTGTGAAACTCCAGCAAAAATGGCTAAGAAATATCATACAGAACCAATTTACAATTATGGTATAAATTATTAGCATTGTTTGATTTATTTTATTGATGCAATTAAATTTACCCATGATTTAATTACAAAAAATATATAGCAGATTAAATTTAAATATGAATTTAAACAAGATCTTTTAAAAAATAAAATAAAATCAAAATTTTTTTTGCAATGTTTTTTATTGTTTTTCTAATAAAAAAAAAATCATTTAATGAATTCATATTGATTTAATATAAAGAATAATAATTAACCTTATAAATAAATTAATATTATAATTACTTCAAATCAATTAAAAAATAAAGATGCTGTGTATCTTGATAATTTCAACCTTTTGCATTTTGCAAATAAACCATTCATATTTAAAACTATTCTGTGAAACAAGTATAGTAATAATATTGTCAGATATTAATAATAAGTCAGAATAGGGAAAAACAGCAACGACAAAACACATAAAAAAAACTGCAAATAAATAGTTAATAATTTATAAGTTGTTCATAAGTTAATAATTAATGAAACTTAAATTTAAAAAAAGATTAAATTTAAATAATATTCTTAGTTAATAATATTCTTAATTATTTAACAAATAATTAAAATAAAATGACAATATATCCTTTTAAAAATTATAAACTACTTATTTTTCTGGATATTTATGAAAACAATAATTTTATAAATAGTGACAGGTAAAAATGCAATTATTTAGAAAATCATTACAAGGATGCATTTTCATATGAGTCAGATAGTTCAAGATGTGATGCTACAAAAGGGAAAGGTAAAAAAAGTAACAATAACTTAGTATAAGTAGTATAACTTAGTATAGTAATAAATTTATGAAGAGAAAAAAATATACTTATGTTTTGTGATTGAACTGTTTAGTTAATGGAGGATTATTAATATATTGTTGATATGGTGATTCAGTTAAATAGGGCTACTAAAATTTGCAGGGGTCACTAATGTGTTGCTAACAAAAATGTTTGTTTAGCTGGGACTGGGGCCAGCTTTGTGAAAGGCTCTGTTTTTAGCCAGATGTCACTTACTACATATGAATAAGTGTCCATATGCTAATATTATAATTTAAAAACCAAGGTAAATTTTACAAAACAATAATATTTTAGATTCACAGTTTTCAACTTCTGCTCAAACTGCTGAAGAAGAATTGATGCAACCTAGTTCAAGTTTTGGTAAGTCAAATTTATTAGTTTAACTTTCAACTTATTTACTTTTATTTGATGTTAAAGTATTAAAACAATTTCTTTATTAAAAATTTCTTTCTCACATACCATAATGAATTATTAAATGATATATTAACAACAGAAACTTAAGCTACTTAAAAAAAAAATTTAATAAAAATTTAAGCTGTATTTTCACTTTGCCATCATGTTTTCTGTTCCAATCTTAATAATAGGTTATGAATAACTTCTTTTGTTATGTAAGTCTATGAATGCATATGATGCATTTACATATAAATAAATGCATTTCCATAAACTAATATTAAAATATAAAAACTGAAATAAATATTAGAAAACAATAATATTTTAGATCCTCAGTTTTTAACTTCTGCTCAAACTGAAGAAAAAGATTTAGTGCAACATAGTACAAGTTTTCGTAAGTCCATTATTAAGTTTAACTTTAAACTTATTTACTTTTATTTGATCTTAAACGAAATTAATGTTAATGTAATTTCTTTATTTAAGTCCATTGCATTTTTTAGAGATTTGAAAACATAAAACTGCAATTATCATTAAGTTTTTAAATTTTATTTTACAAAGTAAAGAAAAAAATAGATTGTATTGTCGCTGGACACTTGAGTATGAAACTTTGTTTGTTAAATGGTTTGAAAATTACTTAGACAAAGAGGCTGGATGGCCAGGTTTGAAATATTTAAAAAAAATTATTATTATAAAAGAAATATCTTAATTTTATTTACCATAAAAAATTAATAACAAATTATTTTATTAAAAAGAGCAACTTTAATTAAAATAAAATTATTTTATTAAAACTTCATAAAACAATTTGGTAATAACTTTTTCTTGCAGACAGCAATAAGATGTTAATTTTATAATAATAACTTAAAGAAATTTATAGTGCAAAAAGATGTAAACACAGAGATATTAACATTATAAGAATATCTTATGATATAATAGAACAATAACTATTATTTTAATTAATTAGTTCAAATAATAAAGAAAGGAAAGAAAAAAATGAACAAAGAAAGAGATATATTCTTAAAAATAAGACAAGTAGTAGCTTGCAGTAAAAAAAGATATTAAAGCAAAGGATCTTTATAAACATTAAGTAGTATGTGTGGCATCAAAAAAAAATCTCTTTCTTAGCATTTTTTTTAAATATGATGACCAAATTTACTGATTCTGAACAGTCTCCAAGATAGGCAATTTAATGCCAATCTTGTTTTTACTATTTTTCAGTTAAAAAATAATTTTTGTAAAGGAAAACTGAAATAAACTTTGTGCCAAACTCATGCCAACCAAAATTAGTATAAGATCTTTACTAAATTGTTCAACCTTTTTCATTCTTTTTGCACAGTCAACTTGGTAATTAACATAAATATTTAATTTAAACTCATTTTAATGGAAATTCAAAATATTTAAACTTTCCCAATTTATTTATTTAAAACGAAAATATATTGAAAAGTTTCAAGAACTTGTTCCGTTTTCATATAAAACCATAAGAACAAAGATAAACAATGAGAGGAAGAAGTGGTGCAATACATTAAAACACAGAGAAAAAAATACGAACATGTAAAAATTAAAAGCATGCAAGATGTTACATGGCTAAATTATTTTATGCAAAATAATATTTTGACATAACATTTTATTTAAAATATAATTCCACTATATTTCTATAATAGTAAAATATGAAACAATCAACCGACATTATGAATAGGGCTTATTACAAAATTATATTTCCTTATAAAACCTTTTATATTAAAAACTATAGCATACAATTCTGCTAATAAAGTCTTAGATAGAATACTGCGAATTCAAATTTAATTTGTTCTCCTAAAACTTTTAATGTATATTATAATTAATACTGATGGTTATTTATTTGATATTTTTTTTCATTGATAACTTATTTTTTCAAATTGTAATTTATTTAAAAAATTCTGTAAAATATTGAACTTAAAGTTTATTTCAATAAATTTTCCAATTAAAAAAAAAATGAAATATGAAAAATTTAAAAACCTAAATAAACTGTAGTGTTGTGTTTTCTTATCCATCAGAATTATTTGAACCAGTGGCTAAACCCTAGCCCAGCCTAAAAACCTAACATGGGCTGACTTAGTCTTAAAGCGGAATTTTCTTTATTTTAAAATTTTTCTTTGTTTTTGTAAAAGACTTACATTTGTTTACCTTTTAATAGATTAAAGATTTACAGATTTTCAAATAACATTTAAAAATCTGTTAATTTTTGTTTTTAATAAAAAATTTTATTAACTACTTTCTTTAACATATTAAGAAAAATGTAGTTCATAAATACAATTTTTTAGAGTGTCTGTATTATAAAATTGTACGTTTTTACTGTATTATCCAAAAAAACAATGAGGTAATTTGAAGTAATATATTTAAAACTCATTTAGAAAACATTACATTCATAATAATAAACTGAATATGGCAACTGTAATTGTATAATTAATTATTGTATAATTATTTAGTGATTAAATTTTATTAAGTTACTTATTACATCTTTTCTAAACCTAGCAATGTGTACTCTAAGTAAATATCGGAACGCACTCTTGTCAAACCCCTATTCCGACGTTGAGCGTCCTTTGCGTCCGCGAACTTGTGTTTCTAGGAAAAGGGCAAAACGGGGTATATAGGGATTTGCGCAGCGGTGCGCACATACACCAACTAATTTTTAGAGAGAACATGCAGCGGAGTGTGTAAACAACGACTGAGGGTTTGGGGTGGGTAGGTTCTCTTTTAAATAAAGAAGTCGTTTTTTTACATTTTCGGACCTTAAGGACAGCGTAGGAATAAGGGTTTGACAAGAGAGCCTACCGTAAATATCAGTCAGTAAATAGATTACTTGCGTTATTTGAAACATTGAGTCTATACTGCAAAATAAAGACTAAAATATGGACTAAATTGCATGCTATCCATAAATTAGTCAATGTAGCAGCACTCTCCTACATTTCTCCATAAATCAGTAATATATCTGGTCTTCGTTTTTTGAAAAATCAAAACGTCATTTTGAGCGAAAGATACCAGACTAAATTAAAACTATTACTAAAGAGTTTTACGTGATTCTAAACTTTAATAATTATAAATACATAAAAAAATAATTAGAATAACCTAACCATAACCTTTAACAACCATAACCTTTTAAAAGCAAAATTAAGGCAGCCATTCTGAAAGTTTACATTTTAGTATTTGGCTAAAATAAAACTAAAGATGGCTGCTTTGTCGCTAAAATATCAAAAGGCTTTAAGAGTATATTTTAATTTCGGGTTTTTTACGTTAATTTGCGGGTGACATGTGCTGGATTAAAACGTTGAACAACTATGACGATGAAAGAAAATGTATACTTTCAGGAAACTTTCAGTTATTTTCATATAAAATGATTCAGAACTTCGTAAAAACGAAACAAGGAACAATCTCTCAAAACATCTCACTAATTTTATTGAATCAAATCAGTTTGTTTTGGTCAATTTAATCGGTGTTGGGCCTACTATACCTACAAACATAAATCTCTTTCTAATTCTTCTTAAATAGACCACATTGCATCTTAAAACAGACAGAACTAGGTTTTAAAAATTGTCAGGTTATGCCACCTTCACCGTTTAACCTTAGTGATCACCTTCCGGTATCTACGAGTATTAACTTTGAAGGTACCGGCTTATTACACGAAATAAGTAATATAATGCAAAAACATAATTCAATACAAAAACACGCATGGAAGAATGAAAGGTTCATTAATTATTATAATCTCAATCTATATAAAGCATTTACTAATTACGCATTGAAGGAAGAAAAAATATAAGCAGAAACTAAAAAAACATGCTTTTATATCAAAAATGCTATATCAAAAATCACTTAGCAATGTTTCGGACAACAAGAATTTTACAAGTATTCAAAACCTTGGTGACACCGGAGCTTAAAAAAATTAAAGCTAATCTCTCCTTTCACTTTAGACAATGGCAAAAATCCGGCAATAATAAGTCAGCAGAACATATAGTCTGCAAAGGATAAATTTATTCCCGAATTTCGGGCCGAAAAAACTTCCGTAAAGCTGTAAAAGCGGCACATAATAAAAAAATTCCGCGAAAAACTAAAAATATAGAACACCTAGAAAAAACTAAAAATGTAATATCTGGAATAAGGTCGATTACAAATAACGTTATTTACATTAACGGTGCTTCTATCAAGTCTCAAAGCAATCTAAAACATCTTCGTTTCCCTTGGGATAAAAAGTATAAAAATATGACAGCAACACTCCAAAAAATAAACATAACTGAACGTGTAACGCAATTTTTTCTGTTGCAAGAGCTCTTATAAGAAATGGACTTTGTTTTTTCCAGCCTGCTACCATAACTCATTTATTTAATTCCTTAGCTGTTCCAATGTTGTTATACGGATTAGAATTGTGTGGAAGCAGCAATATGTTTCTAAATAGCATTGATTTAGTTGGACAACCTGTCTTAATATGTTTCTTTAATGTTTCAAAGCAAAGTAGAAATTACCTGGATTCTTATTTCAAAGTAAACGCTATGTCAGACATTCCTTTTTGCAACAAATTAAACCTATTTATCAGGCTTTTAAACAACCCCATACGTTACTCGATTATACGGACTCAGATGCCGTTAATTAGCAATCAAGGATCATTTGTGGGTTGAGGTATTGACAATATGCAAGAAAGTTGGTATAAACATGCTCCAATGTATGATCGAGGGTAAAATTATAGTTGCACGCCCTCAGGAAGTATTTGAGGCCGATGTTGCGGCGATTTTAAAACAATCGTTCCAACATTGGAATTTAATGGAAAAAAGATTAATATTTAGAACACTAATGAAGGAGAACCCAGTGGGCACATGACGTGTTTTATACGTCTAAAATACGTATTTAAACGTTTATATTTTACGTATTATTATTTTAATTTATTAATTATATTAATACGTATTATAAACGTCTTAAAAACGTCTTGTGCCCGTTTGGAACATTCCGAAAACAATGCAAGAAAATACTTAATTTTTTTGTTGTTGTTGTATTTTTTAATACTTTTACCCATACTTTATGCAATTATTGGGTGTTAAAAAAAATTACTATTACTATTATTATTCTTTAAATATATCTGTTAAACACCCACAACACAAGTAAGGTAAACTAAAATTTCGTTAAAGATAAACAAAAAATCTTAGGATTTCTCCTTTTTTTTTTTAAGATTTTCCTTCAAACATATTATCTAGGAACTTAATTCCCATTTATTTATTATAATTCCAATTAAAATTTTACTTTAAAACAACAGTGACTAAAAAAACCTTAACTTTAAAAAATCCAACACAGAGCCGTAACCGCCAAAGGATCTTGGTTCCCCCTCCCCCAATAATATTTAATGTTTGTACTTTTTTTATAAGACAAGAACTATGAGACACATTATATTATAGTTATAATATCTTATTATATTATAGTTATAATTATCGAAAACGAATGCTATTTTCATCATAAAATAAATTTGAATAAATTGAGCCTGATGGTATTTGGTCTGAGGTAGTTTTATCTAAACCGAAATTACTGAAAGATATAGACTAATCCTGAAAAAAAAAACATTGTTTGTTTTTTAAAAGTTTCGTCCAAAAAATGCAAGAAATGAATTTTAGGTAGGTACCGAAGAATGAAAACCCACCCATGAAAACAACATATTTAAATACATGTTTTGGTATCGTTTTTTTTCAGAAAAGAATGTAAAACATTTATTTAAGTGAATTTTACTTTTGAATTGAAAAATTTATTTACCTCTAAATGATTCAAACTTGTTTAAATACCAGTAACTTTAAATATCTTATCCGTCGTCATATGAAAGTAGATTCTGCAACTATTTATTTATAAGTTGTATGAGTTTTTAGATTTTTTTTTTTGGTTAACAAAGGTGGGTTTTTCATTTTATAACTATGTAATAAATATAGTCTAATAAACTATGATAACTATAGTCATAACTATGTGCCGAATTTCTTTGTTAGACAATTTTTTTCATGTAGTAAAAAACTTTTTTTGTTGTAACTAATAAGTGCCTCTAAAAGATTTTCATTTTTATAAACATATAGAAATTTATATTGTTTTCATAAATATATAGAAATTTTTATTGTTTTGTAACTTACACTATAAGTTAAATATTTAACATTGTATATGTTATACACCTAATTTATTGAATTTAATGTATACACCTAATTGAATTAGGTGTTTGCGTGACAAAGATTGTTTGAAAATTAAGAACTCTGACTAAATGAAGAAACTAAAATTGATAACTCTGACTAAAAAAGAGCTGATTTGATCCATTCATACACAACCATGACCAAAATGAATAAAGCAGAACACAACATGCAGACTCTTCAAAAGCACGGTAGAAGTTAATTTAAATATTTTAGAGAAGCAACAAATGTCAACAAAAACGTCATTTCTTTACAACAGACTTTTTGTTAAGTGTAGTTATAGTTAATGATTGTTTTAAAGCTAACGATCAATTAGCGTTACTTTTAAATATTTACATATGTATAGACGTTTTTGTATATAATATGAAGACAAAATTCGTCAGCCGAGAACCAAGAAGCCGTATGTCCACATTTTGTGTTTTTTTCTGTTTATTATCAATAAAAATTCAGCGATTAATAGGGTGAGTGTCCAATAAATCTAGTCTCAAGAATGCAAAAAATTTTAAAAATATTTAAAAAATTAGTTGGATATACTGGCAAAAAGTCTTTACAAGTTCAATTTTAGAACTTGATTCTCTCGAAAACACAAAAAATGGACATAAGGCCTCTTGGTTCTCGGCTGACGAATTGTAAATATGAAGAGTATTAGTTTGTATACAAAGTATGTTGAATTGTATTATAATATATAAGGAGTTTTACGCTTAACTTATAAAGTTCTTTTAAATGTGAAACAACACTTTTTAAAACTCAATGCCTTTGGAAATAGTAAAATTACTTCAGTAAACGTCTTGAAGCACGGTTTGACTGTTGAACAAATAAAATTGATAAAAATGATTGTCACATGATAATTAAGGCATGGTCACTGACTAAATTGCAACTATAAAGAAAAGAAGATGAGGTAAATGCGCAAACGATTTAATAATATCAAGTAAATATATTGAAATGTTAAATAAAATCATTACGAATAATCTTCTTAGTTTTATGTTATATTTTATCTTTTGTAAAATTTTGGGATGGAGAATTCATAATTCCCAAGAACATTTAACAATCGCTTTTTATTATCAATTGTAATAACAAATTTATGACCTAACCAGCCTTAATAAAGTATGATTCAAAGCAATATTGTGTAACCAATCTTGGTTCTCTATTCATATGAGCCCCATATGATATAACTTTTTTTTTTTCTAATTTTTCAAATTTTTTGTTAGGGCCAAAATATCTATTTACAGTCTTAAAGAGCATTTCAGAGGAAGTTCGCGCCTCTTTTCTTAACGGTGTTATAAATTTTCCCAGAAGGTTGTGTTGAACCACGGGTCTCTGGCTTCCGATGCAAGTGCGCTAACCACTGCGCTATGGCTGCTAAAGTAAGTAACACCCGTGGTGTAGTGGTTAGATTAAATTTTGCTTAGTGTTATTCAGTTCAAACAACAAACTTTCAAAAACAGTTTGCTTTAAAAAAAATAAGTCAACGAGGTTTGACAAACTTCAACAAACGGCTGTTTTTATAGCCACAAATATTAAAAACTTCAAAACTTTAAAATAAACATTTAATTATAGATGATTTATTTTTTATCTACATTACATACTACCTTTAGTATAGTTCATTGACTATATTATGTTTTAGATATGGTTTGAGGCAGATATTTTTAGATATACTTTAGATATACTACAGATAGATTTTAGATATACTTTGAGGCATGGTGCAATCTCAAACTAAAGAATGTTTACGTTAAATGAGAGTTTTTTTTGTGAAAAATTGTGTTGATCGGAGTCTGCTAATAAAAGTACCACAAAAAGCTTACCTAGTCTACCCTAAATTTAAAGCAATCATTCATACGTATATTTTTTTCACTATTTTATTCTAATTTAGTTTTATCGGCAGATTTTAAATTTCGTCTAATAAACTTTTAGCGTTCAAGAGCTATAACTGTTTAAAATGCGAAGCTCCCTCTTCTTTGGGAAGTACTCGCCAAAGAAGAAGGAGCTTTTTACAAATTTTACTACATTCACATGGGTAGTAAAATTTGTAGAAAATTTACTTTGTTTTTTTCGCCGTGTAAATATTTACATTCAGCGAGAAGATGACTGATGCTGATGCTTTATCGCCAAGCCCCTTGATTATTTCTGTAAATATTAAGTTTAAACTCAAAATAAGAAATTCCGTTAACAATAAAATAAACAAATGTAAAAGTAGTAAAATAACTCAGAAACTTAGCAAACAAAAATTTAGTAAATAACTTAGTATTTACTTGTTAAATACTTACATTAGGCTTAAAATATATGTTCTATTGAATAATATAGTAATAATTTTTTTTTTTTTTTTAATTTTAGGTGCCCCAAGAAGTACTTACAGTTTTATCACGGGCACCGCGGAAGACCATTTGAAAGGAAGTTCACAAATCTTTCCTTACCTATGCCATAAAACTTGCCGAGAGGTGGCGTTGAACCACGAATATCTAGCTTCTGAGTAATTTGCTAAAAAAGATTTTAACAAAATGTTTCTTTCTTCATACCAGCTGGTAATTTTAACATACAAACGAGTTTTTTTTAAATACAGTAATTTCATTAGACATGGTAATGTCTATTGACAAATATATAGCTTTTTAAATTATTTTTTCTAATAAAAAGAAGTCGAATTTGTTTGGTTTGTCTTTGACCAACACTAGAACAGTCCCCATTACTACTATCAACAACTATTATGTTGTCTGGATCTTCTAAACCAAGTGAATTGCACATGTTTTCAAATATTAAACATGTAAAAATTATTGAGCACATATTTATTTAAGGAAAATACTGTGATCCACAGTATCAAATATCCTGGAGGGATAAATAATACTCCTTGTTCTAACTCCTAATACTAAATCACCAATGAATACTCTTAGTTCTAACTTACCTTTATCAAATGAATAATATTTGCAATATCTTATTTAGTTTAACAATACCATTTTCAGTCGAACAATATTTTTTAAACCCAAATTGATTTTCAAATAAGATTTTATTGATTAAAAATTCTAGTGAAATTTATTCATTCAAATAATTTTAAAAATACTTAAGGAAGAGAACTAAGACAAAAGTTAGTTTTTTTTTAAGATTGGTTGAATTTTAGCCAAATTTAATCTATCATTCATTATTTTGTTTACACTTTGGCAGAAACAATAACCTTACCGTAGTTTGTCTGAAACTAACATGGCGATGTTACACTTTTTTATATAGACGTGGGATTGAAAATGATATTTTAAATTTGTTGAAAAACGCGTTTTCATAGATATTCTTTCTAAATAATGTGTAATCATAAATTTTACGTTGCATTCATAAAAAACTAACATAAACACGCAGTTTTATGGAAAATTATCTAGACCGAGCCCCAAGGCATTCTTAGTTGAATGTTGTATAATTTTAAATAAAAACGCGTTATTTTATATTACCGCATTACCATTTACCAGATTATGAAAGTAATTAAAAAAAAACATTCCAAACAAACATAAACATGACATAACTTTTGATGAAAACCTATGCATATGCAAATGAAAAAGCTTATGTTTATGCTTTTGCAAAAACCTGTACACGCCCCCACATATAACGGCATGCAAACTAGGGGGCAGGGCGGGAGTAGGTCCATATAAAAAAGACAAGTAGGAGGGGGTAGATAGTGAGAAAATATTGTCATTTAATAGACTTTTATTTATACTTTATTTTAACTTATTTTACCTTTAATAAAATAGAAAGTTAGGTAAACATATTTTTAATGAAAATATGAATAGAGAATATTTTTTATTTTATTTTTCAAAAGTCTTGCAACTTTAATTTGCGCGTCATTCTTTCATCCATGTCAATAGATGGATAAAATAGTCTATCATTAGTAATATCTAATAGGCATCATTTTCAAGGGGGGTAGGGTATAGAAAAGAGGATTTTGATCCCCTTTTTCCGTTATACTTACCAGTATAAAGGAAAAAGGGGATCAAAAATAGCCTCAAAATTGGTAACGTCCTTTATAGACGGGTTTTAGTTGTCCAGTCTTAGTTGCATTGAGTGGATCAAGTTTTAACCTTTTTAATGCGAGCAGCTGTGGCGAAGTGGTAGCGCACTTGACTCAGAACCATAAGATCCGTGGTTCTAACCTCACCTCTGAGCAAGTTATGCGACGGTTGGGAAGAAGGCTTGAACTTCCTAGTAAATGCTCTTCCGCGATGCCCTGTGATAAGACCGTAAGGACTTCTTGGGGCACCTAAAAAACTAAAAAAAAAAAATTGAAAAAAAATGCAGATTTTTAATTTTTAATTTAAACGAGTGATTTTTAATGTAATAAAAAAATCAAACAATGGTTTATTTTTCCTTTTATCTAAAGTTCCAACATAATCTGAAATTTCCAAACGCTCATTAAAAAATCTTATGTTTGATGGTTTATAACAATCAGAACCCAGACTATTGGTATAAAATTTTATTTTATTTAGATAAGTGGTATAAAATAGATTTTATCTTTTAACTGGCAGTAAATTCATGTTTAAATAGAGGAAGATCACTAAAAAAATATCAGAAGTATATTGTTAAATCTTCGATTGTAAAAATGATTTCTTTAAGCTTTCGTTTAAAAGAAAAGTAGTTACTTTGATAAACAAATTCTCAGTAAAACTTTTTAAAACTGTTTTATTCCATAACAATAGTTCTCGATAATCAATCCAAAACATTGAAAGAATTGTATGAAAATTAGGCTGCTTAATAAAATTATCGTTGCGCAAAATGTATTTATTTTTATCTTTTCATGAATACAAATTATGGAAAGAAATTGGAGATGAATTGGTTTTACATTTAAAATAAAACAAAAAATGTTAAAAATATTAAGCTGATATATATTAAAAACTTTCACTTCAAGTAATAAAAGCTTGGCAAGAGTATAACGGTCTTTAAAATATTAGGACTTGATATATTGCTGCTTTGTCTCTAGCGTCTTTATCTCCATGTTCGTCAGCATAGAGGGGCCTGGTGTAGCACCTCTTCATCAAATTATAAATAGATTATTGTATTTGTATTTGATCACTGAATAATAATAAATATAACATATATATATATATATATATATATATATATATATATATATATATATATATATATATATATATATATATATATATATATATATATATATATATATATATATATATATATATATATATATATATATATATATATATATATATATATATATATATATATATATATATATATATATATATATATATATATATATATATATTATATATTTTATAACATTTTAATTTCCTTTTTTTGTACATGCAAGCCATCTTCATAATAATTAAATTTTTAGAGACAAAATAAATGTAAACTGTTGCATAAAATTATAAATATATGGTTGCTAATTAAATAATCTCTTTGTAACTAAAGATCGTAGCCATCTTTGAAATTCTAAATTTTGTGATAAACATCGCGCTTGCGTGTAATAACTTGGCGCTTCGGAATGACCGTGACTCAGGGGTGCCGTTAGCCTAAACGTCGCCTGAGACAGTAACCCAGAGTGGCATTCCTACCTTTTACGTTTTCTTGTATTATCAGTCAAAAACCTATTTTTCAGGTAGCTGTTTTTACTTTTGGCGCCTCTCAACGTCCAAATAGGGAGGAGAGCGTTATCTAAATAGCGGTAGAGATAAATAGGAGGCGGTCGAGATAAATAGGACAAGGGGAGGGGGAGGA